TGGTGCAAATTACTGACCTCTGTCATCATTTTAAGTGGGGGAACTTGCACAATCGGTGGCTGACTAAATACTTTTTTGCCCCACTGTATGTGTGCTTCCTAATTCAAGTGCAAGTTGTGTGGAACAACTTTAGATTTTGAGTGTTTCTCCAACTGTCTGTTAATCATAGATAATAAGCATAAAAAAAAAAACTGTGTCCCATATGCATTTATACTTACCAGCTGTTGCACCACTCACAGCTTTTGTGATGGCACTGCTGGCAATGGTTCTGTTTCTATTCATAAGCTCCTCCAAATGTTGATCTGAACTTTTAGGTGTGTTTCTGTAAAATAGACAGTTATTAGTAAAAGTAACTAATGTTTCAATGTTTTCTTTTTCGTAACTTCTAGTCATAAGTAATCTCTATTCTCATTTATGCCTCTCTGCATCCTGCTCATTGGTTCACGTTCCACTGGAGGTTTAATCTCATCTCTCTGTAAATGCCTTTAGTGTGTCAGTGGCTATAAAAATTAAATAATGTGTTCTCACTTTTGTTGGCTGTAAGCTTTGCTGCTGTGCCCATCCTGTGCTGGGCTGAAGTATGGGGGATGCATACCAAGAGATGGGTGGCTTGGGACAGGGACTGGATGAGGAGGGAACAGCGGGGCTGCCATGAGCGGAGCGATTGTTTGTGGCATATGTGGAAACAGGGGAGGTGGATGACCAAAAGAAGGGCCGGGTAATGGAGGAAAGCTGTTAGCAAGTGGATGTGATGGAAAAAGTGGAGGTATAGCAGACGGGGTGGTCTTCTGTGCTAATAATACTGAGAGACTCTCATCTGACGAATCAGATTCCTTGGTTTCTTTGTTAGATCGCAAGGGTACACCTGAAAAAAACAAAATACATCTCCATGAAAAATGTTATCCTGACATTTAGTAATACAAACTAAATATCAGTGTGTGTGTGTGTGTGGGGGGGGTCCGAGAGTCGTCTTCCCCTTACGTTTGTTTGCTTCCTCTTCAAAAAAAGCAAGGTTCTGACAAGTGGCATAGCGACAGTCTATCCTTTCCCCGTTGATTTTACACTGTGGTAATTTTTCCAACATTAGTTTTAGTGACTCGTCTGACGTTATCACCACTTCTGCAAAGCTGCATCACAGAGTAGGAGATAAAATTTTAAAGAAAAATACAAAAATGCTTTATTTTTTAAAGGTTTCTCTATATTTTACACAATACTCACCCTCTTGACACACCATTACTTCTGTCCTCAGCAAACTTGATGTCTGCGATGTTCTTCACACCCAACCCTTTGGCCATAGATGTTAGGTCATTCTCAGTTACCCACTGCAAGGATGAGAAGGTTTGTAAAAAAGAAAAAAAAAAACTGGTAGGGGGAAAGTCATTCAACTTTATAGGTATAACAGATCATCTACTGTATCTATGTAGCCTTTGCTAGTTTCTCCAAATAATTTAACACATTTGGAGAAGAACTGGGAAATTTAATATCCTCACAAAAACTGATAACATACTAAAGTAATGCCAACTGTGTAAACAAATGGCAAGCATGGTATAGTGTGCTATCTGTCTTGGCATTATATAAAGAATCTAAAATCAGATTATTATTTATTGTTTTCCAGTAATGTTTTAGTATTAACAGTGTTTCTAAAATGGATGAAAATGTATTGGTAATGCAAAACTCAACTCACCCATGGGAAATGCCCAACATATACAGAAAGTCTCCTTAGAGAGTTTGCTCTTTTTGGAGTATTTGCTTCTGTTGATTTATCCTCTTCCTTAGCTGATGTCTCCTTACGTAAGGACTCCTTGGTAGCAACATTCTTGTCTTGGTTAACAGAACCGGTTAGAACGGCATCAAAAAGTTCATTTGCTTCTGCAATTCTATCCAAATCCTGTGAAGTATAGAAAAATAATAATTACAGCACTGGGCAAAAGTCTTGTCAATGCTGCATATGACCACCTTTACTTTTCAACACACAAACTCTGCTAATTTTGTCTTTTAAAAAATATTTAACTAAAGAAATATACAACTAAAGCCCAAAGAAACTATTCCAAATCGGTTCTTTGTTAAATTTCATCCTTTTAGTTAAGTATTTTTCATGTCATGGGTGAGTTTTAAGTAGCTCAAAAACGTACTAACATATATTCCAGTATTAGATAACGTAAAATTAAAAAAAAGATTAAAGGATGTGGCACCTTCCTTCTAGGAAGATATGTACCGCAGTTTTATTTTTGACCGATTGTTTCAATAAACACTATGTTTGATCGTTTCATACACTGACCCTTTTTTTGCATTGATTTCAATGCCAGACTCACCTCATCGTTTTGATTCAGGTCACTATATAGATCTATATCTTTGTCATCGGTGCTTGGTCCAGCTGCATGTTCTCGTCCTGCAGCAGCCATCCCGTGGGCCGAAGATAATTAATTACTTGCAATCCAGCTAGTAATTGTTATTTGTTTTAAGTGCAGCTCGCACATGCACACCTTAGAAATTAACACAAAGGATACACTTTTAGACTTCAAAAATTTCACTTTTCCTTATTTTGTTAGCTAACGTTAATGTTCCGCTGGACTTAAAATAAACATATTGTGGCTAAAACTGAGTGTGACAAACCGAAAATACAGTCCGCGGAAATAAATTATAAGAAAACTGAATTTTGATGAAAACTTTCACAAACATACAAGGTATTTCACAGCACGAGCGACCAGTTTACTTCTCATTCGTTCTCTGATCAGCTAAAGCTAATGTTGCTACTCTGGCAGTTGGTGCATCTGACATATTCACCGGCTGAAAACAACAATCGACATTTAGTTCCTGTAGTCAAGTTGGTTTAGTTTTTGGTAAAGGGTCAAACATGTATTTAGCTAATGCATTTGTTTTTGAGTACGAAAAATAAATAAATACACAGATTAACTATATAACCTCTAAAGGCCCAACTGTGACGCCAGCTACGTTTTCCTGCAGTTAAACAAAACCACGTGAGGGCTGTGTACAGCCCTCCCTCCGGTAGTTTCCTGTGACCGTACTTGTGTAATTTCTGTCAGACAGCAGAAAGATTTCGACAGGGGAGACGGATCTTCGTCAAATTTGTGGACCTTAAAAGAAGCTGGGTTAAAATGCTGTCTTCTATTGTCGCGAAAAGGGTGAGCTAGCGAGTAATTTGTGTATTTGTTGCTTGAAATCTGAATCTGTGGCCGTCGTAACGTCAGAGCTCGCCGTCTAATTCTAAACATTTTAGCGTTAGTACGTTTAATGTTCAATAACAGGACGCAGTAACAGACTTAATAGTATTAAACAAACGGTTCAGTATGTCTCGAGGATGTGGCATTATTATTGTCAGGGTTGATTTAGTTCTGGTGCAGAGGTTGTCCCCTTGGAGGACAGTTGTACAACAGTGCACCGAGAGTCTCAGATTATGCAATTACCCTCTGCTTTCTTTATTTTAGTTTAGCAGCAAATCTTTAGGACTCCAAGCCATCATAGTTATTATAATATTATTATAGATAGCTAAAAGCGAAAACTGAAACTGGGGAGAAAGAAACGTTTTAGATTATATGATTTGCATTGGTATATACTATACTATACTATAAAGCCTTGAACCAACCCTCACTTCTTTCAAATTTGCTTCCATAGAGTTAAAGTGCCTTCAGGAATAGTTTTCCTAGGTTTTTGGAAGTATTTCCATTTTCTTTTTAAAATTAACATTCCACAGCCCCCCACCCCACTCCTTTTCACTCCAGTCTTTTTACCTGTTTTGCTAAGCCGCTAAATACTCACTTACCATTCATGCAAGCATAAAATATGCACCTAAATCAAGGAGCCCGACGCAAAAACGCATAATTGGTCCTATTTCTTCAGTTAAACTGATGAAAGTACAGTTTGAAAGGCATAAAATTGGATTTTTCTAATAACAAGTTGATTTCCAGAGAGCTTTTAGCTGAAAACTTAACATACCTCAGTGGGATATCAAGTGTATCCTTAAAAACAAAATTTGAGGAAACTATAAAATTGGAGGACAGTGTCAGGTCTAAAAACAAAAAACGCAACAGGTGAACAGTGTCTGAAAGTTCGGTCCTTAAGAAAAGCAGGGAAAAAAGACCTGATTCAAGAGATGCATCCAATCCTTCAGTTGACACATTTACTATTCACTGAAGCCTCACCAGGAATGTGGAAGGGTGGCTCTCAAGAAGCCATCATTAAAGAAGGGAAAACATGAGAAAAGGCTGAAGTTTGCCAAGTTACACAAGGACTTAACTGAAGATCGATGGCAGCAGGTCTTATGCCTGCATTTCAGCCAGTGGTGTTGGAGATCTTGTCAAGACTGATGGAATTATAAAAGCAGAAAAGACTTCAGACTGTCAGACTGTGATTCCCTACGTAATTTTCATTGTGTATTTTTCAGACTTTGATGAATAGTTAGTTGGATTGAATAACCCACAGGACAGCTTTTAGATAATAATTGCTACCACAATCTTGCCCAAATACAATGTTTGTTAGTAACTAGAATAATCGGATGTACTGACTCAGCACATTCAGAAGACACAGTGGATTATTTGACCTATCACATGTGTCTTTTAATGTGTGCTTGTCCCATCAGCTGGTAACCGGGATGTGTCAGGCTGCTTGGAGACCAGCAATCACAGGGCTGGTGTCATCTCGTGGTTACCGCGGGGACTCTCCCGAAGACACAAAGGTTGACCTGATTGAGATCCCTTTGCCCCCTTGGAAGGAAAATCCAAGCGAGCCCATCGACATCAAGAGACGCCGCCTTCTCTACGAAAGCCGCAAGAGGGGCATGTTGGAGAACTGCATATTGCTAAGGTTGCTGAATTGTACTGATTTTGTCCGTGATCTGCGTTGTTCATTCATCCATCTCAGCTTTAAAGGATGTGTTTACATCCAGTATTTTTTTTTAAGCACGGTTTTGACTACCATCGATCCTTGCTCCTTCCTAAGTCAAATCCAATGTAAATGCGATCAGTGACAATAATTCATATCATTGTTTTTTAAATACATTCTTGAGAACATTTGAGTTTAAAATGAGGCTTCGGTGCAGTGTCATAGTAAAAATTTCATTGTATATGTGAGAATAATATTTTAAGCATTTTCAATCATTAGAGCTGTTTTTTAAGTTTTTGTTTACCATTGTGAAGGATTTTTTTCTCAGAAAACAGGAAGGAAGCTTCAGATTCTGATCAATTTTCTGTCTTGTAGCCTTTTTGCAAAGCGATACCTGAACACAATGACTGAGAACCAGCTAAAGCAGTATGACAGGCTGATTAATGAACCAAGCAACGACTGGGACATCTACTATTGGGCAACAGGTGAGAGCCAAGTAGTGTTTTTCTTTTTAATTTTGCAGACTCATTTTCATGTTTTGTCTCTGTTCTAGCTCTTAGTTGTTTTGGAAGTGATTTTAATTTTTTAATGTTTTGCAAATGTCTTCCCAAAACTCAGCTCTCTTCATTAAGTCCTCCAACACCTCCCTACAGCTGCTCTTACAACCCATGACAATGTTGGGAATGCTGCTACAACATGAAAAAAAAAATGACTGTCTTTACAAACTCGCCTGCAGTTAGCTCCCTCCACATGTATTTTTAAAACCAAATAGCACTTCTGTTGATAGTTGTAATTAGCTATTCTTCTATGACCCAAATTCAAAAAAGCTGGAATGCTGTGTGAAATATAAAGTCAAAACAGATTTCAAATCTCATTACTCCACGTTTTATTCAGAGTAGACCATAGAAAACATTTCAAATGTTTAAACTCTGAAGAAGAACATAAATAACATTATTCTGAAAGTGTTCCACAGTTTAGTGCGGATTCAGGAACCTCTGCTCATCATCTGCCTCTCTAAGATGTTCTTTTTATACTCAGTCATGCTACTGACCTGTTGCCAGTCAGAATCAGAATACTTTAATAATCCTTAAGGAAATTATGTGGGTTACAGTCCCTCCAAGACGATAACAGTAACAGACTGAACTAATTAAATTATGCAATATATTACAAAGTTAATAAAATATAAGAAAACGCTCTAACATCTATACAAATAGCTCAATTTAAATATCAAGAATATTAATTTAACTAAATAGCTGCAAAATGAGGATAAATAAAATGGTAAAAAAAAATAGAATAGTGGCAACTGTAGTAAAATAGTAAAATGTTATTATTATTGATTTTTCTTTTATTGTTACTTACTATTATGTTGCAGGATGTTTGAGTTCAGATGAGCAATGAATGAGACTGTATAAAAAGTGCTACACAGATAAATAAACTTGCACATTAAAGCACTAAAGTTAGCAGAAGATGGAAGTTTGGGGCCAGATATTACTCAGTTACAGATATCTAAAAAGCCTTTGACTTGTTTGCAGCAACAAAGAAAACAGCAAAAGTCAATTTGTTTTCACCTTCTAACAACAAAATGTGTAAAACTCCAGTGGCTATGATTATTTATTTGTTTAAATATTTTGGTTTGTTTTAACTGACAGATAGGAAATAATAAATTATATTTGAAATAATAGATGATGATGCTGTTGTTATAACAGTGCTTATAAATGAACTACACTTCATTTACTGTTTTTAACCTTTATCCTTGGAACTCATTTACTTTTCCTGGATAACTTGGCTTTTTACTCTAATTTGTTCCGGTTATTTGCCTTTTTGTGTGTGAAAACAGCTGAAAACAAAATCACTGTGAGAACAGCCTGAGCATACCAAATTGGCAGCATCTCTAGACAAATAAACTGTTGCAGGAATTCTGACAGGACTGGGACAAATAATGACAAAGCTGTTACTAAGTGATTAATTGAAATGCCTTTTTTTTTTTTTTGCATTCAGAAATTAATCAACAGAATTTTCAAAGTGACATAGATGTACTATTGGGATGAAGAGGGAATGATCTTAATTCAGTTGATGCCTGTTGTGCATCTTCTTATTATCACTGAGACAAAATATGTTCCATCAGCCTACATCCGTTTCAATTTTATGCTCCTATATTGTTCTAAAATCAACTGAGGTGATTCTTTATTTTATGCTCTTTGCATCCTGGTCTTTTTATACTTACAGAGGCTCAGCCCACCCCTGACGTCTACCAAGGAGAGGTCATGGATATGCTGAAGGAGTTCACAAAAAACCGCAATCATGAACAGAGGCTGGACGCGCCCAGCTTGGAGTACTTGGAGAAAGAAAACCAGTGAGGTCTTTGGCCTGCCAGGACTTTTACAGAGACTCATTAAATAAGGGTTTCGGAGTGAATGTGAGTGTAATAAATCTTTACAGAAATGCTTCAGAAGTTGAAACTTGCTCTGAATATATTGTATTATAAATGTGTGATTTAGTGATGTATATTCAAATTCCTAAGTTTGCTAGAGGCTTACTGAAGAAGCCACCTTTGACTAATGGCTGCAAGATGATTTGTAAATCAATTTTACTGTGCCTATTATTGACATTGTGGGTTATTTAATAAATGTTAATGCTCGTCTCTTTGCATTGCTGTGTCATTCATGACTGTGATTGTGCCTATAATGCCATGGTATTGGATCACGTGACTGCAGGAAGCCATGACTGACAATATAGACACTATTGTTACATAAGGAAGGTTGTGCAGCCTGCAGTGTGGGTTTACAGACACCAGAGGGAAGCAGATCCCTTCAGTTTCAGTGTCAAATTCAAGCTCCGGCTGATTTCAGTGTGGCGAATGGCTCACCTGAAACCACACATATCTCACATACCTTATTTTTAATGCAGGATGCAATGTGAAAATATAAGCTATCTAAATAAATTACAATTAAATTTAAGCTGTGTATTTTTAAGCCTTTATTTACAGTAAAAATAATTTCTGTCAAGCTGAGTTTTGCAATCAAACCACATATATTATTGCTTAAAACCAAAAAAAGGTTGGGGGTTTTTTT